AGTAGAGGGAATATAGAAGAAAAACAACTGAAGAGAAGACAATAAGGTGATTTTATTTATGTAATGATAATATTTATTGTTCAAAATTAAGAATTTTTCTTAAATCATCTGTTTCAGTTATTATATGAATAGATCATCGTTCAAATGAATTGAGTTCTGAATCGATAATTTTTTTCTGCATTAGCTTTATTTATTATAAACACAAGACAGTGATTTTTAAAACCGATTCATTGTAAATTTTAACTAAGCGTGCACCTGTATTACGAATCAACAAAAATACGGCACAAACGTTCTTTGGTCTCAGTCATGGTAAATTAATTTTCATTTTGGAGTGAAATGGACACAGAAATTCTTTGAATAGCTTTAGATCAGCTAAAATCATCGAGTTCTGAGGCAACTATTAGCATAATAGTAATTCGAATCGAAGACGTTTTCTATGATTGTTTGTACAACGATATGTTCTTCGCTTCCTATTTTCATAAGTTTTCATGAGAAATTAATGTCAATTCATATTTAATCCTAACCCGAACTGCTCTATGTACATAATAAAACTTTCACATTTTCATAATATCTTCTCAATCGCTTTCTTCAATGGGATCAAAATACATTGTAATAATTTTACTGCATATGCAAGACAACTCAGGCTGTGACTGAATGTACTTGTACGTTAATTTATCATCAAAATTTATGAAAATAAGAAACAAAAAGCATATCGTTGTATTAATAGTCATAGAAACCGCCACTAATTCGAATGAGTGTTATCCAAATAGATGCCTCACAGCTCGATAGTATTCGCTAATCATAAGTTATTCAAAACATGCTCACAGCCATTTAACTCTGTAATGGACATTAGTAAGTGAAAACGTGTAGGTGTGGGTTTTGTTGTGAGTATGAATCAAATGCACCAATACCGGTGCCCCATCACACCCTTTTATTTGGATAATTCTACAGAGTGAAAAAGAAATATGATTGAAACTTCCATTTGTGTTTTCAACTTCTACTTATCAAAGTGGCAATGGATCAATAATTCATCTCTCTTGGTTCGTCAATTTAGGTCTTGTTGAAATAATCTGAATTAATGGGTGTTGTTTCTGAAAAACTGTTTCTCTTTGACTTTGTGAAGATTGAAATGACGATTTTCCCTGAAATGGAACAATGTCTTGAGTTGGAGAATATTGTGGAGCCCACGATAAAATAGGTAAAAAAAATGCTTTTCTATGCGGTTACATGTACGCCGTTTACATTAAAAAAACAAGAAACTTTTTTTACAAAGACAAACAAATCTCAAAAGGTTGATATTAACAAAGGACAAGTATCAATAATGCCATTTTTTTGTCTAAAATATTTTTGAAACAGAATTACATATTCGAAATCAGCATTAAATTCTAAAATAAGGCATTTTTTTCTGTCGTAAAATTACTTTGATTTTTTACCTGTAGTTTTGCATCACTAGGGAACCCCAAGACTATCGAAGAAATTCTTTTTTTTCAAACTCTTCTGATTCCTATACACTGTCAAAAAAAAAGGGTTTATGAATTTGCAACGGGGCATAAACCCTTTTTTCATTTTTGAAATATCTGATAAACACATTTTTCAAATCATAAACGAATAAACCATTTATTTTCTTCGTCATAAACGAAGAAAAAGGTTTCATGTCCCGTTGCAAATTCATAAACCCTTTTTTGTTTTATACCTTATCAAAAACGTTTTTTTTGGCTTATTATTCTGCGAATTTTTTTTAGTGTATAAGTGTTTCACTTTATATATTTTTGTAGTAATAGAATCAAGATAACGAACAGACGTGACTTTGAAATTTCAGTCGAAGAGAAGCCACGCCGACAACTTGCTTTTTAGTTTCTTTTAGTTGCAGTAAGTGAATACATTTTTTGAAAAAGAGAAAAGAAATGATGAGGGTGCAATAATGTTGTTGTTTCTTTCGAGTCGCACAATCTGACAACAAGAATGAAGCACTTATTTTGCCCTTCCATACAGCCGACGTCAAAAATCTCACATTACTTGCTTTGAGCCGCCTATTAAAATTAGACGACATTGATTTCATTCCAAACTATGTTTGTATAGTAGAGGTCCAATACTATATATATATACATCTATTTAGTGCGAAAAATTCTGTAATATAAAATACAATAAAAAAGACAATTTTCAATGGTAAGAAAATAAAATAAAATAAAAAAGACAAAATGATATTACTATTATAGGCTTTAGTAAGGTGCAAGTAATTCAAACCTGAGTAAAAAATTTTTTTTTTTATATTTTAAACAGTTTGTTAGAGCTTGTCCAGTTCTATCAAACTGTCTAGATTTTTAAAATTTAAACTCTTTTTAGGATAAAATTTACAAAAAAATCGCATTTTTTAATATTTTTTAGACCAAACGTCGGCATTTTTCTTTCATAAAAAAAATATAAAAAACACGAGTTTTTTTTGTACACATTCTAAATAGTTTGTTGTTAATTTTAACTCAAAACGGGTTTTAATTTTTTTAATCTAGCAAGTTTTCTAGAGCTCGGCGAATTGTTTCGAACCACATAAAAATATCAAAAAAATTTCTACTCGCCTTTTGAATTATCCACATCTTACTAAAACTCGTAATAGCAATATCATTTTACAGTTTTTCATTTCTTTTTTTTTCTTAACATTGAATTTTCTTTTTATTAAATTCTATACTAGAGGGTTTTTCGTATTAAACAGATATATATATAGTACTTGAACTCTATAATAAAGGTATAGTATGCAATAAAATTAATGTCATCGAGTTTTAATATGTAACTTAAACCAAAAACTCGTGCGAAACTTTTGATACCGAATGTATTTACTATTTTCAAAAGAAAAAATGTTTCCTTCTTGGGATTAGAATACTTTCAACTTGTTTTTTTCTCTATCGTTAAAATTCATCATGCATTTGATTTGTTTTTGTTCTGTGTATATGATTCAACAGCAGAGTGTGTATGACTCAATATATTTATTCATCTGTTGTAGTTGCCACGATTTCAGCTGACAATTTTATTAGCAACTATTTTTCAAAACACAGCACTCCTGGATGTATGTTGTGATTCAGCCTTTTTCGCATAAGCTCACAATACAAAACAGATAAGACAATATAAGGCATCGAAATTAATATATAATACGATCAGAAACAGCATCAACAATATCTTGGCTTGCAGTAAAATAGTGCTTATCTGTTATGGTGAGTATATGCACTTCCTTTTATCCTCGAAGGTACCATCGTAGGCCAATTGTTTGTATTGGACTGTTAAATAATAGTTCAGCGATTGAAACTTTGCTTGTTTACCATGTTGTAGATCAGAAATACATTTGAAGAAATTTTTTCTGAATTGTGAAACATTTCGAAACAGTAGGTAGATAGCAACTTGTTGCAAGCAAAATAGATGAGGAATTATAACATGGCTGCGATAGTGGCTCGTCAGATTTTTGAAGAAGTCTTCTATCCTTTTACAATTTCATATATCAATGTAGCACGTTGCAAGTGATAAAAAAACAATGCCGAACCTTCGCTACACAACTTTAGTAGAAATGCTACCATTGTGACTTTGAGCGGAGTGAGTTGTAGTCAGTTGATGAAGTGCCAAAGAGGGTGTGGCTGTGGCTATTCTTCTTTGCTGTATCCACACCCACAACCATTCAGACCCCTGACTTCTCAGCTTTAAAGAAAGATTTCGTTTGAGTTTAATCTTTCTTAATCAATTTCTAAAAACTAATTTTAATCGGTGAGATTTTATTAATTGATTAAAAAGACTAAAATTGAAGTCTAGTTTTAAAGTTCAGAAATCGAATTTCATTGAGAATTAAATAGCACCATGTTAATCGACTTTTAATAAAAAAAATAATCAATTTAATTCTGATTTTGCATCAAAATTTTCTACGTGAATTATACACATCGCGACTGTTAACAATCAGAAATTTTATTATGCGAACGCTTTGGAAATGAACAGAAAGCATTTATTCAGTTTGATGGCACTCCTCATTCGTACACAATTCCGAGTGAAGTATCGACTGCATCAAGAGGCATGGACATTAATGAAATGGAACGATGCTAACTGTATAGTAAAACTAGCAGTATGACTAGAAATAGTAATCATTTGACTCTTTGAAATTGACCAGTGAACATTTTCCTTATGCAAAGTTCTTGCTAATAAGTGATAGTGTTTCAGAAGCTGGAGTACCAACAAACGCATCTTACTCGTTCAGTTCAATTACTAATTCGGCTTATCTCCCAGAACTTTTTTTAACCTTTAAAATTGTCTAACTTGATTCAATTCGTGATCACTATGATAGTTAATAACCTTATTACAACGATTTGATAAATTACTCCAGTGATCGTTGAGTTCTATCATGTAAAAATCTTTCTTTCGTAAAATAAATATAATTATAATACTGCCATTCTGAGTCGGACTGAGCGGACATGAGCGATTTTTGGCCCGGTATGAGCCAAATCATCAAAAAGTGGCTCAATTTTGAGATCTGATCCACACCCACATCAATCCATTCGTAGTCTTATTGGAGAATTAAACGAAAGTTGAATTTCGCAAGATAACTCATGTAGGATTATAATCAAAAGGCAATTTGTTTTCTCTGCTTTGAAATATATTTCGAAGATATTTTTGTACGCTTGAAAAATAGTAGTATCGAAGAATTTCAGAGCTATATAAAGCAAGTATTGTTATAGGAAGTTTCAAGAATCTCCTACAATGTTACAGAGCCTGTTGCTAATTCTGAAGAAGAGATTCGAACGATCACAGGGAAACGAGTATCTTGGAAATATTTATTCTTCAAATTCCATTTAACCAGAGAACAGTGTCCATATGATATGCTTTACTGTAGTACAGTCAGCCAACACGGACCTCGTTTCTTTGGAGTGAGTCCCGATGGAACCGCCGTTTTCTATTATCAAAATCGGCACTGGAACCAATGTGAATCAGCACGGAATGTCCGTTTTCTTCTTTGCAATGGCACTATTTTATCCATGCCACCACCAAAAACAGAAGACGGCATTACAAGCGACGAAGAGGATTTGCCATATGAGGACACAAGTGGAAGTTCGAATGTTCCAGAACAATCTGGGAAAGAAGCAAAGGATCGACGTAATTCAGATGGAAGTGGCAAACGCTTAATCAAAACGGCTCTTCTTCCCTATGTTTTTTACAAACTATTTTCAAAAAATATTCCATTTCCAATGGCACAATAGATTACAGCGTGATGTTCATGCTGTATGATTGAATTTTTTTTTAATTTTCTGTTCAACATTAAGAGGGGAATGATGTAACTGTATTAGCCGTCACACCTATGATTTCTCTTTCTTTGTGTTGTGCGTACATTTATCTCATGATTGTGGCTTCTTTGCTTTCTGTAGTCTTTGTCGCGCTCATTTTATTCTGACCACTGCTCATCGCTTCTTATTAGTTATAATAATTCATTCATTATTATACTAACTCTTCATTACAGATGCTTATCTTCTTCTCGTGTACTTTTCTCATAAACCGTTTTTCTTCATCGTGCACAGATTGCCTTTATTATTAAAACCTTTTTTTTTGACTGCTACCTTCAATCAATGACTTCCTCATCTAGAGTGCGCGCGGAAAATCCCGTACCACTTTTTTTAATTTTGAGTCTTGTATTAAAACTATAGAACATATATTTACTTCAATAATATGTTTGGATAGCAGATATCGAGTTCTGTCTATATGCATCTGTTCAATTCGAAAAACTCTCGAATATGAAATACAATAAGAAAAACAAACTGCAGTGCTAACAAAAAAAAATGACATAAAAAACTACAAAATAATAATAATAATGTTTGAAAGGCTTTTTGCTATGCAATAGAAATTTGTTTATACTACTTTTCGAGAGCTTTCGATGGCACATCTTTTGAAAAAAAAATCAAAATGCTATCATGTTCTTAAGCCGAGATACATGCAAAATGCAACAGTCTTTCGAACATTTTTATTATATTAAATACGATGGGAAATAGCACTATCATGCATTTTCTTTTCATTTTGCGTATGGAAGAAATCATCAAAAGAAGTCAACAGGGATTATTCACACAGCTTTTGTAGAGCTTTTCATAGCGCATCCTTTGAAATAAAAGACAAGATTTAATCACTCGTCTTTGCAGAAATATTCACAAAACAAAGTAAGTTGCAAACATTTTAAAACACCCGGTATTTTAGAGTATTTAATATTTAGACTATAATACCGTTATTTCTCGATGAAGTTTAAAATGTTACGTTTTTCTCAAAACGAGTTTTTTTTGTTTCTTATTCATAATTTTTTTCTAGTTGTGCATCCAGATTTCTCTGCTATTTTACATAATAGGAAGTTCAGAAATGTTTTGGATTGAAGAGAAAATTATGTTTCGAAACTTAACAGAGTTAGGTTTTTCGAAAAAAACTGATAAAAAAGAATTTGAAAAATTGGACTGTTAAGTTATAGTGAGTAGTATTGGCTACATTTTGATGCCCATTAGAGAACTATATTATTAGATTCCGAGATGAAATTTAGAATATACGAGTATATGTATACATTTTAACACTTAATCGAGAGACAACTCTTGAAGAAGTCAATATTTTGGTCTTAAAATTTCCGCTACGTTGGCTGTTCTGGATCGAAAATAGTTTTTTGACAGATGGAGAGGACTTAACACATACAACAACAGATACATAACAATATTTTACTGTGAAAATTTTCAAGATGATACTATTTGACTTAAAACTTATTATATACATAGAATAAGTAAGTCACTTACTAATTGATTGCTACGGTTATCATTGATAGAAATAAACGAAATGACATAGAATTTAGTTTCATCAGCAGTATTTCGTAAGTGAAAAATCTGTTAACATTTGCGCAGTTATCAAACTTAGCAACTCGATTAACTTTAAAAACGATTTGTTCAAAATTGACAGCAGAAAGCTTGCTGTCAATTTTTATGTGACATTATTAACTTTCACGAATATTTCATCTGTTTTTGAGAAAATTCATTGAATTGAAAAACGATGATCTTTAATAATTTTCATGATAAAATTGTGTTTTTCTGTTTCAATTAAAATGTTATTGAAAGACTGTACAAGATTTTCCTTAAGAAACATGATTGTCTAAAGTTAGTCATACAAAATAAGAGTATATAAAAATTACTTTGAAAAAAAAAAACTAAAAGTATGACCCTTTGTTAATATTTTCTCACAGGTGTCACTGAGAATGATCATGTAAACCTAACGTCATATAAAGTGTTCAATAAAAGATTTGTTTTGCTAACAATGGAACCTTTTGCATTGGTCCGCCAAACTTGGACACAATTTGTTGAGGTACATGAGATAAAGTATTTGTCAAATAACTATAAATAAGAAATTGATGCGAATAGTCCAAAGTACCATTATTTTGAAATATAAAAGCAAACTAGACCTACAATTCTGATTTTCGTAAAAATTTATTTAGATTTGAAAAGTTTGTTTTCTTATGTTATTCGACGAGGTTTATCCAACCATGACGAAAAAAGTTAATAAATAATGCTGAAATTTCGAACACATTATATATACTGGAAATATGTTCAAATTTGAATACTTCAGTCTGTGGTCGCTATGGGTAGATCATATGTTAAACTTGTTAGTATAGCAACAAGAGTAATAATTTCACTTGTACATGATCAGTCTTCTTGTGTACTAGTACAAAAGGTTTCATTGTAACTTATCTTACAGTTCCCAATCTGAAGATATAGCACATGTGAATTATGCTGAACAATTTGTGTTCGATAGAAAAAAAAAAGAATCTTATTTGCCTTGTTTACTGATACTCAGCATTAAATAAGAATCACTCGCAATAGTAACAAACAATTCTACCAAGGATGTAGCACGTCACTATTGCGTTGAATTGAAATGTCTATATGAATGAATACCATTTGTTTAGTCAGAAAACTTTCATCAAAATTTTCCTTTATTATAAACATAACTTTTTTGTAAAAAATTTATCAATAAAATGCGCAGTAGTTTTCCAAAGTTAAATATACTTGAATGATATTGATAAGTTAAAATCAAACGATTATAAACAAAGATTATAATGATTTCGGTACTATTTTTAGTTATTTATCTATAGTTTGAAATCATGTTTTTTTTCTTGTTTAATAGCAGAGAACTACTAAAAGATGTTCTTATGTGATGTGTAGAGTAAATCTTATGTTTAAATTTATCAAAAACTGAACTCTGTACAGCTTGTATCTTGCTTTAAGTTTATTTGCAATTTGAATTGACTCCTCTACTATTTGAATTCATTGTTTATTATCGAAATTTACTTCTTTTCTCATAAAAACTTACTAAAATTATGCTAACTTTAATTATAAGATGCATAGATTGGCTATAAAAAAAGATTAGAATTTGCTGTGTGAATATTGTACTGTTCAGTAATATCCTCTATTTTTCTATAGTTTGGCATATTTTTATGATAGTTCTTTTTCTATTTTTCAAGTAAAACTATCTGTTATAATTTGTCGGATCATAATAAATCAATAGTGTATGTTGATATGAACAGAAAACGATAGAAAGGAATAGTATGTTCGATAGGTTAACGCGTATAACTCCAGTAATCAATATATTCAAACAATAAAGACGATTCAATGATGCCTTGATAATTTTATAATTGAAATATAAGTTTTGATGAAAAGACTAAATACGGACTTCGATTTCAGCCCTTATGTAAAGATTTTAAAAAATTAGCTCAACTAAAACGGCAAAGACAAAACATGCTGTGAAAAAGTTACAGTTTAGATAATACACTATATATAGGGGAAAATGAAAATGTGAAGAATACAGAACAAATTTTTTTTGAGAAAAAAGAGGTCGTGATGGAATCACATTTTTACAAAATGATTTTGTTTTATTTAATTTTTATTTTTTCAGATATTTAACTATAGATTCTCAGAATAAAAACCTAATGTGCACTGTAAAAAACCAATCACGGAAAAGCATTTTATGTACAACCCCTTTACTTATCAGAACATATACCGACAACAAAACTATAAGAAAAAAAAAATATGATATTTTTATTTTACAAAAGCAAAGATTTAATCATTCGAGAGTGTGGTATTCAGTTACGCTCTCCTAGCGAATCTGGAATGTTCCTAAAAAAGACTAATTAATTCTTTACATAGAGCATTCATTTATACAATCAGAAATATCTTATTTTTGAATAATACTGGATGACATAGTATTCTCGCGAGAGCTAGACTAAACGAGACTCGTACCAACTGATCATTGCTATTATAACCTATCTATTGCCCTACGATCTCCTCCCCATTGTTGGGAAAAATTTATTTTTTACCTTACAGACTCATCCCATCAGAGGTAGCGAATGGTGGAAGAGGCGCAAAACCTCGAATTAAAATTTACATTCACTATTTTCCTTCAAAAAATATGAGCTATACAAAATGAATTTTTCTAGATTACGTCAAACGTCATTTAACATCATTGACGAAGTACTTTTTTCTTTAAGAAAACATATGTTGAAAGAACTTAAATTACAAACGATTGAAATAATATTTTGTATATTGTTTATTTTAAGAATATTCAAGTACATTTTCGATGTTTTATTTGCTTCTTCTCTGTCACTATTTATGGATCTCTGTTCTGATCACTTAGTTTCCATGCGTATTAATAATTAAAAGATATGTCATGATTTCCTTAAATATATCAATTAAATCAAAATGATCATATTTACTTCTTATGTTTTCACGATTAAAAACAATCGGAATGCTATATCTTACCTGCAAAAACACGTTCATCAGTCTTTTCGTCAACATTGTAAAGACCAAGAATACGTTCCATAGATAATGATTCAAGATTAAGCCAATTGATTTTATAATGTATTTGAGGTAATATTTGTAAACAAAATCGATCAAGTACTATGTCAACCAATGGATAAATAGGGTGGTTAGAAAAATATCTTAATAATGTTAAATTTCTAGTAAAGACTGGATCAGATATAATTCTATCTAATCGTGTGTTGATATTCATAAGAGAATAGAGTAATTCAACATTATTCAGGTTCTTAAAAATCATCAGAAATAATTCATCAGGCAAATCGATCAATTGAACAATTGAATATTCTATGTTCGTTTCTTTCTCATTTTTCAAATATCAACAACTATATGTATATATATATTGTTATTGCGTATTCACTTGTTCTATTTGACCGCTGCTA